AGAACTTTTTACATTTCATAATTACCTTCTTTACTAAAATTTCTACCACAAATCCATTTTGCATTCAGATGTCTTGTATTGATCCTTCATTAATGTTTCAGAGAGCACAGAGTGTTTTCTTAAGGTTTAACCAAGGCCCGGTTTCACAGACAGGGCTTATATTAAACCAGGATTAGACCTTAGTTCAATTAGGACATAACTTTTATAAACATGCCTTAGAAAAAACATTACCAGTGTGCATCTTGAGACAAAACAATGGTACTGACTTAATTTAAGGTATGCCAGTGCAAGATGCTTTCAGTTAAAGCAGCTCAATAATGCATTTTAGACTGGGACTACAGCTTAATTTAATTCAATTTAAAAAGATAAAATATGTCATATTAGTATACAATGTTTATTAATTTATTAACCTATTTTCAATAAAGACCAGATTAGGTCTTTAACGTCAATGTATCGTTACCACTTAAAAATTATGTTACAAAAAATTACCTTGTACTTGTCTCTTCTCATCGTCATTCTTCTTTTTTTCTGTGCCTGAAGGATAGATTTGTTTCATTTTCGCGGTCCATTTTCCAAAATAAATCAAAGTCCAGGGAAGGGACAGGTGGCGGGAGCGAGTGGGCAGGCAATGAGGCAAAGGCCATGTATATCAGTGACAGCAGCGTGCTTTGCAACGTAATGACTCAGATCACTAGTGGGGGCCACCTAGTGGTGGTGGGGCCCTAAGCAGCCGCTTAGTTCGCTTATAGGGAGGGCCGGCTCTGCAGATCAGGTACACGCAATAGTTCACTAGCGTTAAGCCATTCGGCAACGCCAGTCCAGGCTCACATACAGTAGATAGCAAACACACGCTCTCACGGCTCTCCGGAGCAGCAGCAGTACATATGTCTTGGCAATAGATCTGCTTGTTCTTGTGGGGTTTATCTTTTATATTTCTTCTGCCTTATAGGGATGATTTTAAGCATATTATTGTATAGCAGCAGCACACATATTTAGTTGTTTTGTTTTCTTCTTCCAGCTTTTTGGGGGGGTTATTTTATATGCTATTTGTGCAGCAGCAGCAGTGTCTTAAATACTCACTGCACCGTATCGCCATATGCATTGGCAGTAGCAAGTTCCTGTACTTGCTTGCATCAGCAGCAATAATCTACAACTACAGCAATAACCAACAGCAGCATCAATTCAGCAGCAGCACCAGCAGCGTAGCAGATCTATTCCACCAAGACCAAATACATTAACATTGTCATATCCATTGGCATGCTAAAATCTTCCGAGAGTTGTCATGATTGAACTGTGGTTTTGTGAATTCCAATTGACTGCCAGAGGTGGTGCATAATTTCTGTACAACTTTGTGTATTAAGAGTGACAAATAGTACTGGCAGTCATCTGGAATTTACAGAACCACAGTTACCTACATAACTAGCATTCTGTTTCATTCCTTCTGACTGCCTAAAGGCAGTGCTTAAGCACTAGTGGATGACTTCTACCAACATAGTCATGAGGAATGTCACTCACTTGAAAAACAGTCAAGGGAAAAAGTAAAAACTGCTCCTTAAGACCTATCAAACTCACAGCAGGCGGTAGCAGCACTGACTGTGGAGAGGTGAGTAAAAGTACACGAAGAAGCCCAAGTAGCATCTGCACAGATATCTGCCATGGACACACCTCTAAAAGTAGCCCAAGATTCAGACACAGCCCTAGTAGAATGACAAGATAGATGTTCCTCCTGGCAGGGGCTTTTGGGCCTTCTTTTATATTGTAGTGATCACCTCCACTATCCAATTCAACAATTGCTGCTTTGCAAAAATATAGCAGCACCTTTCCTGATGCCACCATTGCAAACACATAGCTGATATGTTTGTCTAAGATGAGGGTAGGAGCCACATAACACAGGACAGGACAGGTGATCCTTGACACTAAAATGCAGTCTGTTTCACAAACTGAGAAAACAGAACTTTAGGAAGAAAAGATGAATTTGGAAGAAGCACAATGTCAGAATCATCCGGCAACTAACATAAGCATGACTCACCAACAGACAATGCATGTTACTCAGTGACTTGCTTATGCAGAGTTCACACTGCATGATTTTAGCCCGATTTTTCACTCGCCGACAGGTTGTGTGAAATCGCCGGCAAATGCCCGACATCGGAGGCAAGTTCACGTGAGTGACAATCACACAGTGTGAATTATCAAAGACACGATCTGAGAGAATCGCCGATGCGTCGCTGACGCCCGCGAAATATTTGGCATGCTAAATATCTGGAGCTGTCGGCGATTCACAATCACGCTGTGTGCAATGAATTCTGACTGAAAAACACATCGGCGATGACCTACAGCCAATGAGAGAACAAGATACAGGGCAGCGGGAAGGAGTTATAGACCAGAATATCAGTATTTTAATAGATATATGAACAGTTATATCATACAGAAAATAAAAAAACAATCAAAAATATTTGCTTGCCCAGCCACAACATCAGCATAACAGTTACTGCAAAATGATTTACCTCCAATTCTCTTTACAGAACACCCAATCCCTGTTCCCTGCATCTGCCTCCTGCATAATCTGTTTTTCTTTTTCTCCTTGTAGCTGGAAATCTGCTCACAGACAATTTGCAGGCTATATATATATATATATTTTTTTTTTTATATATATAATTACTGTCTTGCTTGTGAGAACTCCGGTCTGACGCACGCGGGTTCTCGCGTTATTTCCTTATCACTTCTCGCGTGTGTTTAGTTGTGAAACGTAGTTTGCGGACCAGACAGAGCTGTCGGCGATTCTTCCTATTGTGAAGTCATGCAGTGTGAAACCCCCTGTCGCCGATCCATCATGCAATGTGAACACAGCAGCAACTGAATGCTACCCCAGATAGTCACGCAGTGTGAAAACAACGGCGATCCGACGAGTTTGAAAATCGTGCAGTAAACTCGGCATTAGTGGAAGCAGTGGTCAAGAGAAAAGCAGTTTTCACAGACACTCAAGGTCTGAGTTTGCATGTTGTAATTATGTGTTGTGCAAGGACGTGAGCACATTTTACAAGAAGGAATCTCATGTTTACTGCAATACCTGCATGGTATGAATTCACTTTTAAACACTTCTGATTGGCCACAGGGTGTATACAAAAATACCCATAGTGGTTTTTGAAAGCAGCTGTCTATCAAATGTATCTCTAGTATTTAGAAGAAATATTAAAGAAATGAAATAATATCAAAAACGGGTCAGTGGAAGTTTGTGTTCATACTCACTTTAACTGCAGGATCTCTGTTAGCTGTTTACTGTGATCAGATCGTATCCTGCTCAGCTCATTTTCACGTTCATACAGAGCATTCTGCATAGATGACAACCATTGTCTTGTGGCATCTAACTCTTTTCTGGTTTTGTCTAGAGCCGCCATCAAATGGTCCAACTATGAGAGTAAAATCATATAAGCACAGTGTACTTTTCATGCAATATTCATGTATATCCTTTTTATCTTCCATTTTCTCTTTATATTCTAAATTACAAACACGGTCTAAACTATTAACACATAAACAACTGTACTTTTCACATTTCTATTCAAGACACTGAGTGATCAGAGTAGGCTGGAAAATGTAAGTGACCCATTGTGCTACAACTTCTCCAAACGTTTACTGGAGTCAGTTAAGGAGATGGGATTTGGAAGTGCACCTTAAATAAAGGCACACAAAGCTTAGTTACTGATAGATCTGGTTTTCTGAAAAAAGACTGGTCAGTGTGAACAATCCTTCAATCCATAAAGCTTAAAATGCAATACAGAAATTCACGAACTTGGAAAATGCTTGTCTTACCTGTCTTGAAGTATTGGGACTCATTTCTCCAGAATTCACAGAATGCTTTTGGTTCTGCTCCTTCACTTGTCTGCAACACAGAATATTTGAATGATTACATAGAAAGGTGCCACATTATAAATGCTCTTTGGCAGAGTGCTCAAGTGAGCAATTATACTTGATGTTGTGTGGGTCTGACCATTCATGTCTGTCACTGCAACTACAAGTATATTTGGGGGGTCAGGTGCCCAAAACAAATCTGATAAAGAACTATTAGCTTATACGATTCCAGAAAAAAGGTGCAGCTGATTATGCATAGATCAACTGTGTAATCAATCTTTAATACACATTTTAGCAAGTATTTTAGAGTAATTCATGCTTCATTCTGCTGACAAGCTTTTTGGAGATGCTGATTTAATTTTCCAGCAGGACTTAGCATCTGCCCACAGTACCAAAACTACTTCTAACTGGTTTGCTGACCATGATATTGCTGTGCTTGACAAAAGAAAAAAAGCAGAAAGACTAAGAAAGAAAGAAACACAATCAAATCAAGAGGCAGAGAGAGTCAGGGAGCTTGCTAGAGAAAGACAGAGGAAAAGGCGTTTGCTGAAGAGGTCACAGGTTCCTGCTTTACTCCAGGAGTCACCACAGAATTCACCATTTCAAACAAGACAGTCTCTAGGCAAGGCACTAAAACGAGCACTCCGAGCTTTACCAGGCAGCCCTCGAAAAAAATGTACAGTTATAAAAAAGATTGCAACATCACTGTGCCTTCTTCCAGAGAAGAAGAAAATGAATCATGTGACCGCCACCACTACTACTATATATATGATCATGTCAGGGAATTCTATGAGAGAGATGACATCTCTAGGCAAGCACCAGGAATGAGGGATGTGGTCACAGTCAGAGAGGACGGAGTGAAAAAGAAAATCCAGAAACGGCATTTAACAATGGACTGTCTGCAACATGTCATCCCAAGGCGGGCATTCCAGAGCACACAGGATTTTGTTGAAGTCGTGGCCTGCAATCCAGATAGTCCCCTCTGCATGTTAGGACAGTGTGCTGAATGCAGGAATGGCATGCTCTTGGAAATGCGTACCCTCTGTAACATCCCAGAAGAAGATAACAAATTAAGGTGACCTGGTACGCATGGGAAACAACAGAAGGGGTGCCAAAAAAGGTCCAAAAGAGTGGCACACTAGGTGATGTGCTTAATTACTTTGCAGAGGCAGTCTTTGCAGAATAGAAAGAGAAAAAAAAGTCATCTAATTAATCACATTTGTACTCATTTATTTGATGTTTTGCATGTTTGTTTAGCCTTGATTGATGTTTTACATTAGCTTTTACATTTGATAATTTCATCTTTGCAATATTTAATAACATGTAAAAAGTAAAGACTGACTACAATTAATTAATGTTACTTTATTTTATGTCTACAGTGAATTAACTTTATTAATTAATATTTTGTACGTTTCTTATTCACAATGATTCATGCTCATAACAGTGATCAATATACTGTATGCTCACCTTTTTTGGACATCTGTTTTACAGAGCTCTTGTTGCTACAAAATCCTCAACGCTAGTCAGTTACAAATGTTGGCCTGTAAAAAAAAGTTCATGTTCTTAATTATTTATCTTTCAAGTATTTCTTAATGATGTTCACATTAAACAATAAATACAAATACTGTATGTACTTTATGCTCACCTTTTTTGGACATATTTTTCACACAGATCGTTTTGCTGCGTCTTAATCTTCTTAACATCCAAATGCCAGCCATTAAACTTGGTAAAACATAACTACTAATTAAGTCATCTTTAGAGACGATAAACAACATGTAGATTATTCTAAAGCATTGGCTTACATTGCAATTATTTTGACAAACATAATGCAGCTATTTTGAATCATGATTGCGCATTTAGCAATGCAAACTGGGAATAATCATTGCCATCAAACATAATATTGCGATCATTATGACACTATTGTATTTTGCATACCATTCTTCACACAGACACAGGCCTACACAGTGCAGACTAACAACCGGACAATACTTAAATTCACCGAAGCTTGTTCTGAGTGGAAACCGTGGCGACCTCCGGAACTTGGTAAACATGTATTATAGCTGATGATGTATCTGATTTGCCAGAATCAGACAAGCGTCAATTTCAGATCTGTCACGTCCGTAACAATAGTTTTTCCTCATAAATGCAAAAATGAAAAACAAAATAAAATAAATAATTTATGTTCCATGGAGAGACAACCCTTATCCTTTCAGCGGGGATTATTTCTTTTGGCTTGTGCATTTGAATTCGCAGAATTTCTACAAAGTATGTCGACTCCCAAAAACTCAAGACCTTTTTTGTCACGTCCGTAATGCATGCATATTTGCCTGATTTAAAATATAAAACACGTGCATAGACTGTTTTTTTTCTGATGCCTAAACTCTATGGTTAGTGGTTTAGAAAAATATAAACAGATGTTTTAATATATTGTTAACATTTACATTCTCTGAGAATTTATATTTAAAATTTTTACTGCAATTGTCACGTCCATAACGCTGGAATTACTCATCTGTAACTTAACTTTGCAAAGACTGAGCTCTATGTAACCCCTACAAACCCATCAGTTGACCACAACATCATAGTGCAGTAAGGAACCTGGGGATAGTGTTTAATGACTATTTCAAGACTGGTCTACTGTAATGAATGACAGGTCTTCCAACAAGCACAACTAAGATTCTACATATGATCCCAAAAACTTTCCACTGGCTCCCAGTTATGGCCAGAATCAAATGTATGTTTTTAATGCTTGCTTTCATGACCACTGGAACAGCCCCTCCCTACCTTAATTCACTACTACAAATGTGTGCTCTGGTCACTGAATAAGTGATGCTTAAAACACAAGGAAAAACCTTCGACCTTCGACCTTCGACCTCTCTGTTCCTCATTGGTGGAATGAGCTGTCAACCTCCACCTGAACTGATAAAAGCATAACATCCTTCAAACAGCAGCTGAAGACACACCTCTTTTGCAAGCACTCCTCACTCTAAAAATAATGCACTTACACACACAAAAATTATTCTCTGCATTTCTCCTCTTATCTAGCTTGGTTTCTAATATTGTTGTCTAATAAACCTAGCATTGTGTATTATGACTGTTGTTGACTCTTTGACAAATTGCTTTGTTCCTCTTTTGTACATTGCTTTGGATAAAAGTGTCTGCCAAATAGATACATGTAAAATGGAAATGGAAATACTACATTTTTTATCTAGTGACTTCTTTTTTTTAACATGATCTTGCTCATAACTGTGACAAAACAAATGCCAGCACAGTAAATATGCAGAGGCCTGTGGGCTACAGCAGATTATTTTCATTGGATTTTGTTAATCAGCGCTTCAAGCATCCTGACACTGTTATTAATGCTGTAAAGTCTCAGGATTGTTTATGACTGCTTCTCTTGGGAAAGCGCCACTATACGTGGCACCATGTCAAAAAAGCAAGAGGTATTATTTTCCTAGATTGATGTCTGTATGCTCAAGAGAATATAAAAGAAAACATTCTAATAAACTTTGATTGCCTAACAGATTGTCCCAGCATGATGAACAACAAGGACAGATTGTGCAAAGGGAAGATGAGGACATCTATAAAGTACATTTATTCTCTCTCCCTCTTTCACTCTCTGTAAAAAACTATTGGAATTGAGTATTACTAAAGCAAGGCTAAGTATTACAGAAGGTAAAATGTGCCCCTGATCCACAAAACCAGTCATAAGGGTACATTTTTTTGTTCAATAAAGTAAATTCCATTGATGTATGGTTTGTAAGGATATGACAATATTTGGCCGAGATACAACTATTTGAAAATCTGGATTCTGAGGGTGCAAAAAAAATCAAAACATTGAGAAAATCGCCTTTAAAGTTGTCCAAATGAAGTTCTTAGCAATGCATATTACTAATCAAACATTAAGTTTTAATATATTTACAGTAGGAAATTTACAAAATATCTTCATGGAACATGATCTTTACTTAATATCCTAATGATTTTTGGCATAAAAGAAAAATCTATAATTTTGACCCATACAATGTATTTTTGACTATTTGCTACAAATATACCCCAGCGACTTAAGACTGGTTTTGTGGTTCAGGGTCACATATTAAGTGCACCAAGTGACTGTGATACTGAGGAGTCCCTAAGGATGAATTGCACCCACAGAGAGTATTATTTAAACGCCAAGTTCTGTCATGAAACTCTAGATGGCGCAGGCTGATGGGTCGTTAACTCAAACTGATGATATTCACAGCATTAAACTACTTGGCACAAGCTGATTGGTTCATGTTGCATACACAACCAATGAGCTTAGGTTAGCATTCACTAGAGCACTTCACAGCGCACTTGCAGAGTTCCTCTGAAAGCCTTCACCTTCCCCAGCTCCACCTGTATAGATCTGCTACGGGTTATTCTATATGCTACTTGTGCAGCAGCAGTATGTCTTAAATACTCACAGCACCGTATCGGCTAATGTGTTGGCAGTAGCAAGTTTCTCTACTTGCTTCGCAGCAGAAGCAACATTCTACAACATCAGCAATAACCAACAGCAGCAGCAGTAGCAGCAGCAGTGTAGCAGATCTATTCCGCCAAAGATAAAATATATTAACATTGTCATATTCATTACCATGCTAAAATCTTCAGTGAGTTGACATGATAGAAATGCACATGTTTGACTGAGCTGTTGCACTTACAGTTGCCATTGGATTGTGTTAGCTGCTGAATTTCTTCATATCTATAATAAACAGGCTGTGGTTAGATCCTCACCTCATCTCTCTCTCTCCATGACTTAACATTAAAACTTGAGCCAATGTGTGATTTAGAGTTAGTGTTAAATAGAAAAATGTAGGATAATATCTTTCTTTATTTATATTTTGATTAAATCTCACAAATTATATAAAAGCAGTGGAAATGTAAATATACAATATTCATGTCATATGTAATTGGTATGTTTTATAAACCCAAGTTAAACAGTGCAGTTTCTTAGTGATAACAATGCAGGTCTTTGAACTGAAATTCTAAATAAAATTGGTGCATCGTTTTAGTCAAGTTGACGGTGTCTGTGTCACACGAAATGGCCAACACCAACACAATTACAACCATGACGTTAACAACATGTTTGTGAGTGTTTGGATGTCAAACACAAACATTCTAACAATGACATTTAGAAAGCTGCAAATGAGCCTGCTGTGAAATTTAATAACCATAGAAGGCTTAGGTGTCCTCTGACATTTCTACTCACATACCTTTTTCTCTGAGAGACGCTCTTGTAGGGAGGCAAGTTGGCTTTTCAGTTCCTTATTTTCATTCTTATACATTTCTGCCTCTTCCATCTGTTGCAGAAGAGAAAGTAGTGGTTAGTCATTTATATACACTAAATATTGTTTTGTTTTGGTTTGGTTTTTTATCCACTTTTGGTTAAGAACAAAGATGGCAGCAGTTGAGAATAGTGATCCATTCCTAGATTGTGGTAGTTTGAAATCTAGAACTTTCTAAATTAAATCTACATCTACAATGATGCACTAAAAACCGAAACGTTTTTCCTTTTTGTTTTTGAAAGGTTTTACATGCAGATGACAACTTTGTGAAAACAATCAGCGTTCACATGGATGCTGTATTATGCCTATAGACCGAACACAACAACAAAAAAAGTGTTTTTGTAATGATAACAGTATATACTCGTTTATAATGGGTTTGAATGTTTTTGTCTCATCGCTCCGTACAGTATGTTAAGGGGCGTAACATTTCCGTCACACGCTTGAGGTATTCGGCCAATCATAATGCACTGAATAGCTGGCCAATCAAAGCACACCTTGCTTTTCAGACCGATGAGCTTTGTAAAAATCGACGCGTTTCAGAAAGGCGGGGCATAGAGGAGAAACAATAATGTACAGTATGTGGAAAATAATGTGTTTTTTGAACCTTAAACCGCATAAACACATTTCATTATACCAAATACACAAAATAATGTTATTTTTAGCAGCATCATATGGCCCCTTTAAAAGCTTTCTGTTATTAGTCGAAAACTGTGTTGTGTAGACAGCCCCTCAATGTGTCTCAATCTAAACGGTCAGTTTTTTGAGTAGGCATTGCAGCAGTTCTAGGGTCAGTAGATAATCTGGGCTTTTTGGAAACAACTTTTTAATAAATATATTTTAAAATAATGTTTAAATGTTACATCAGCAAGGTTTGTTCATTTATGTATGTATGTATGTATTGTATGTATGTATGTATGAATGACTGTTACTGAAAATTACATTTAAATGGACTCAGTTTCTTAGAAAAGACTAAAAGAATATTTGTATAAGAATATAACATTGTGTCTTAAGAGTTTGCAAGTACCGCAGGTGGTCAGGCTGATGTCTTATAGAGTGCATGTGTGTTTTATTTTTTTCTGTGATATTCAGTTGATGGAATGCAACTCTTAGCAAAAGTCAACAAATCCTCTAGTTTCTTAATAATGTTTGATTTATATGTCAGATTACAACTCTGAGTTATTTAAATTGTGGGGGAAAATGACCTGACATCAAAACCTAGTGAGAAAAAAGGCAATAAATAAAAAAAAAATAAAAAAAGCATTTAAGTCATGGACACCCAAATCCAGCAGTACCATTGAGAGGGCACAATTTAGCTTTTTTTAAATAACTTGCAGGTAAGTAATGCTCTGGGTTCAGGATCTGAACCCCTGCCTTATGGTGTCTGATGTTTATTTGTATGATGTAACAGCTGACAGTAAATAAATGACACTGATGCTCTTTCTTGTTCTCTCATATACTGTATATTCAGCACCTTTTCAGAGAGAGACTCTTCCAGTGTAATGAGAGCTGTGTCCGTGTTGCTGGAGTCAGCTTGCAGAGACGTCATTCTGCCCCCCCCAAACTGTCCAACTGCTTGTCTTTGTCTTTTAACTGCTCCTGCATGTTCTCAACCTGAGAGACATGTAGAAAAATAATCACTGTTAACAATAGCTAAATATATGAAATATATATGAATAGCCGATATATGAATAGCTAAATATATTAAATCAATATTACAGTACCATGCAGGGCTGAACATAATGCTACCAATGCTACAAAAGTTGAAACATAGCTGA